ATAAATAAATAAATAAATAAAAATAAATTTCACTCTCTCTGTGAAACACCCCCACACTGCCAAACAGAATCAGGAGGCTATCTCAGGAAAGACAAAAATTTCCAAATACAATTTTACATTCTAGGATGAGTTTCAAAGTTGCTTCATGGCATATAAGCCTTATTTTCAATATTTTTATTCCTGAAACAATGTATTATATTTCATTGTTGCTGAAATATATTTATTCATATGTTAAGATAAAAAGATATGGACATACATACATAAATATATGTGGTAACCAACCAGAAAAGGTCTTGATATGAAATCATTCAACTTAAGCCCTGTTTATGTAAACTAAGCTGCTAACTATACTATGAAAGGCTCAGGATATTTTCTCCAAACTGCCAAAAAGAACTAAGCCCATCACTCTTTTTTAAAATCTTGTTTCGATCTTCTATTTCAAACTAAACAGTATTTTTTAAATATAACTTCTTGCTGTGCAGGGGGCACATGCCTGTTAATACCAGCCCTCAGGAGGCTGAGGCAGAAGGATTGCCGTGAATTCAAGACTGGCCTAGACTACAGAGTGAGTTCCTGTCTCAAAAAGAAATGCCATGGCCTTCTCAACTTCTCTGATTTTGTGTCTGTTACTTAGAATTCTTTAAAAGAAAAATTAGGGGTGGGGGAGGGGCGCATGGAGAACTAGAGATTGAATCCAGGCCTTCACACTACTCTTAATCCCCATCCCTTCCCTTTTTTAAACCTTTGGGACAGGATCGCGCACCATACTGCTAAACTGCCTACACTGGGCTCAAACTTACAGTCACCCTATCGCTTCCAGGCGTGCTGGGATTATTGCAAGTACCACCGACAACCAGCTGCACATCTAAATTTTCATAATTCTTTCAAACACAATCACTGCACTGAAATAAGCACAGTCCTTCGCCCACGTAGAAGTTTCTTCATTTGTGGTAACTTCGAGATACTGCTCTGTTGGTAACTACTCTGCTGCAGTAACTACCAACCAGAGCACTCGACCTCAGCCCACCTGGCCACCGCAGCCGTCACCCCCAACAGGCACGGGCAGGTTTCCAAGCTCCAGGCTGGATGCCGAGTACAGGCCTGGCGTATGAGGGAGACCGCCTAGGCCCGGGAATCCTGAATAGAAGCAGAGCGCAGGCCCAGCGAGGAACCCATCAGCAGAAGGCCCTGCAAAGAGGCTAGAGGCAAGACTCACCCAGCTGATTCAGGAGTAGAACAGCTTCCCAGAGTGACACAAAGGGTTCAACTATAACGACTGCAGCAGCAAGAAGTGGAGCACAGCAGCCAGACTGAGCCACACCCACCTCGAGGAGTCTGAACTTCATAGATCCGGACCTGGTGCTAAGGTAATAACTCTATCTAAGCTCTACACCAAAGGTCAGAAGACAGTGGTATACAAAATGACAAAGAGAAGGAACTCATGCCCCAGTCTCAGGCCCCGAGTCCACCCAGTACAACTGCAGAAGACACTAGCA